TCCATTATAAAGGAAGAGTCAATGAAGTACAACATTTCTGATGTACAACCAAAAGAAATCCACCTTAGTTACCAAGTTACATTTGGGAAACCAACGAAAGGAGGGGGGAAAAAAAAGATTCAAGGACAAAGGCATTAATTGCCTTCTGAAAGAGTCAAAACCTCTCCCCCATCCTCTACCACATCCTTGTTGGCAAAGAAAAGGGGAAAGAACAGCATATTAAATTCCTGAATATTCGAGCTAAAACCCTGACGTTGTTCTAATAGGATTAGGCTGGAAAGAACTATGTTACAAAACACTCTTAAAGCATCCCTCTCCTTTATTTGCAATACACTGTAAAGAAACAAGAACTGTGCTATTGATACTGACAAAAAAATTTGATAGGAACTTTCTAAGCCACCGTAACTAAAATAGTTTTAGATATATGGAATACTCAACTCAGTAACAGCAGCAGTAAAAGAATAAACAGTAGTATACTGAACACCTGAATTTTTGTTTTCAGGCCCCCAAAACACAATTTGAGAGAGATTAGGATCTGTACTTATCTTTTTTACAAGGAGAAATTAGCAATAATCTAGTGTGACATGTATTAAAACTTCTATTAACAGTACATCTATGCGAAGCTACAAATTATACATACATTACTTATTAATGGACCGGTCACATATACTCCCTGCTTGTCCATTAAATGATGTCTCACAGGTGGGAAAACACTGATGACTGGCTTTTCCTGAGGAAACTGAGGTGGAAGCAAGCTGCAAATACAAGAACAATCATTACTACAGCTATATCCCATGACAAAATTTGTGTAAGAAGGCTTATTATGCTAAGAAAAAGTACTATTAATTACATAAACCTACTTTTCTACACGAAGAGTTATGGAGAAATATACAGTGAATGAAGCACACAAAAGGATTATTCAGTTATAAAATTAGAAGTAAGACAGAATGGAATACTAGACTTCCATGGAACTAAAGAGAGCATTTACTGGGCAAAATTGTAGTATAGCAATGGAGTACATATGTCCATGGACAAAGAAAAACTGTAGCATAAGGAGAGTATTTTCAAATACAAATGTTATTACTATAAATACAATGCAGTGTAACCTGTAAGAATAGAACAAGTCAGCAGGTGAAAGTAATAAAAAACTTGTGGACAGAATACCATCAATATTTGCCACAGCAAAAGCACCCCCGAAAACAAAGTAACGGGAAATGTTACAATAAATCACTTAAGTTATGATCCAGAAGCCTCACTGGGGTAAGAGTTTGGAGTTACAGCAGACTAGTAAATTACTAATCAAGTTTATTTGCAGTTGTAAGGGATTCAAAGTCAGAAACCCTCAAGTGTTGTCCCCTAGTAACCTTCAACTAAAAACATACAGCTATCTTAGGAGCTGAGCACAGCAAAATACACTTTTGCTCTCAGCTGAGCATTTGCATCTTGTACAGGACTAGTTTCACTCATATCACTACAACACTAATACAAATCCAGGTTCCTGAAAGTTAGCTGGGAGCCACTTATGTTCTATTACTACTTTTTTTTTTTTGAGAACAATTTTAATTTTCAAGATGTGCATAGACATATCTCACTCTACTTACATGTTAATATTAATTGTCAAGTTGTTTACAGTGAACGGCAGTCGATATTCCACATCTTTCTGAATTTCTGCAATGCTGTCAAAGAAGAAATGGTTAGCATTCAATTCATGGTCAATATAATAGCTTAAAGTCTAAAAAACCAAGCATGACCTCAGACCTCTGTACTTAGTTTAGTTTTGAAAAGCCCTGTAAGAACAAAATTAAAAATGCTGGAATAAGTTAATATGCTTCAGCATGCCATATTGAATATTAAGATTAAAGCAAAAAATAGGAGGTTCAACTTTTAAACCTCATACAAGATGACAAGCAATGGAAACACAGTAGGAGAAATCGCAGTACTCACTATTCTGACAACAATCTCAACTTACTGGCTTAATTTATGGCAAATGTGTGCTAAAAGTAGTGCTAGGAATGTTTTGTGTCCTTCCCAAGCATTATTTGGACATAGAATTTAAGACTCTAGCTTTCAGAGCTTGGGGAACAAATGGGTAAGACATGAACTTAGTTATGAACCTTGCTTTCTGCAGGCTGATCTTATTCCTCTCATAGACAACTCAGTATTTGCTCTTGCCCTGTGAAATCACACTTTGTTTGAAGAAAGTATCAAGTATCTTCAACACAAGAGAATTCAAATCAAGGGCTCCACTGTGTTACACCACACACCAAAACTGGCACTTCCTCATTCTTAACTGAAGGATTCTCCCTGGAATCTCTCACACACATTCCTGCCCTGTAATCATCTGTCACACTTTTTTAATAGCCTGCTGCAAAATCCTTTTGAGAAGGGTATATAATCATGCTCCACTCACAGGCACAACCTATAGAAACTGGGGAGGAAGATGAGGACAGGGAGAGAGAAACAAGAAAGACAGAATCATATTGAGCTGATCAAATGGTTACAACCTCCCTTACGGAAAACCTTGAACTAATAAACTTAGTTGCCCCTTCCCTAAGTGGGAATGGGTACACTGGAACTTAACTATGGTTAGAACAACAGCAAATGTAAGAAAACTCTTTTTAAATACAAAGACTTTATTTCAATCTCCTAACCTGTGAGGGACCCTGAAAAGGAAGTTTAGCTGCTTTACTGAAATTAAGATGACACATACCTGGGCTTTTATGACCTAAGACAATACAAATCAAACTTGAATAACTTAGTTACCTACACTGTGACGAGAATTTTGAGCATTTCAGTGAAGAGCAGTCAGGATACTCATAAATGAATGACAAAGTAGACTTATCAGTCAAAACAAATACTAGAATGACATTTACTTAATCGCTGCTTAGGAAACAGTGCTGCTGCAACGCTTAATGCATATTCCTATCCTACAGATCTGTGCTGCTACAGAGTTCATGAGCAAGGACATCAGTCCCACCCAAGAAATAAACCTTTGCACTTTTGAAAACTTGCTCGAGTTCACATACCTTTTTAAAAGCAAAGAATTTGAGGCGCTGATATTCAAATTTGTTTATGAAAACTGAACACTTTGTCAGAATTTACTCTGCTTGACCGGCTTTTGGGTTTTAATTATTTTACTATGATTAAAAGAGATCAGACTGCTAGTTTACAGGGCTGTAAAGTCACATTTGGGCAGCTATCATGTCCCTACCCCTCATCTCAATTCCTGGCTGCAGGAATTCCCCCTCTGCCTGTGCTTGTGCTGGTGCCTGCACAAACAAGTAGCAAACCAGTTCAGCAAGCTGACTGACAAACACTGATCACCTTTTTGGGGACTTAACTCAGGATGAGCTTCTCTTCCTGCCAGGAAAAAAGTTCACTAAGCTGCTGCCTGCCTACAGAGACAACTCCTTAGAAAAGTGAAGTCTCGAAAATATTTGCAAAACTGGTTCTGAACAGAATTAAGTTTATGCAAGCAACAGTAATTAAAATACTGTCATATTTATGTTCCCTGTGTGATAAATATTAGGATGGTGAGCTATCTGCAGTTATTAAACTTGGAAATACAGTAAGTATCTCTTCTGCTCCTAGTCTCACTCTGATGTGACAGAAAACTCTCCTTCCTCTTTCCTGATTGTTTTGGAGGTGGCATCCATCATTCCAGTTCTACAGACATCCTAGGAAGCTGTATGTCTACAGAATGCTTACTTCACTGAAAATATAATTTCGAATGTATGAATTGTGGATCTCCTTTTAAAACGTAAATAGTTTTAAAAGACTAGGAAAAATGGAGGGCAGTATGCCAAGAGGGAGTATCTCAGGATGAAAGGAAGTGTTTTGTTTTAAAAAGTGTGGATATTGAACAGAAATAAAAACAACCGGCTTCTACTGAGCATATAAACAAAAACAGTCCCCAAGGAACAACTAGTTATTAGGAAACTACCACTGAACATCAGAAAAAATAGTCAGTAGACCCTGTAGGGCTGCTACGCCACTGCAGATAGACCAGTGTGACACACAGCTCCTTGGTACTCTACGTTTTAGTGTCAACTTTTAAAGAACAACACTCTCACAACCAGCTCTGAGAGGTTTTATCCCAACAGTCTGCACGTCTTTGTAGACTTCAACCCATTAAAGCACTTAGTCGGCTTTCTGGTCAGTGGCCGGTGTCACTGGGCACGGAGACCTGCGCCCGCTCCCCCGGCCAGGCCACACCGCCGCCAGCGGGGCCGCCTCCCCCGTAGCCCCGACAAGCAACTCGGCTTTCGGTTTCTCAGTGCCGCTTCCTGGCCCGCCGCGGTACAGCACACCACAGTATAGTCCAGCTGTCCCCCGGCGAGACCCTCCGCCCCCGGGACAGCCGAGGCTCGGCCGGCCTGGCTGTCCTGTTTACCCGCACAGCCGCGAAGTCCCGGCCGGGCCTCCCCGGGTGGTGACGGGGCGCAGCCAGGTCCCCGTGTGGGGACACGCCGTATCCTTCCGACACAGCGCGGTCCCGTGCCCGGGCCGGGCCGGGCCAGGCCGGGCGACACAGCGCGGCCCTCCCGCCCCCGCGCTCTCCCGCCCGGCCGCCGCGGCCACTCACGAGGCGTGCGCGGCGCGCAGGGACTCGACCTGTCGCTGGCGCTGCTGCTGGAGGCCGGTGCGCGCGGGCGGCGCGGGGCCCGCGGCGGAGGCGCCGCCGCCCTTGGCGAGCGGGAACAGCCAGTTCATGGCGGGCGGGCGGGCGCGCGCGGCGGCCCCGGGCGGGCGCGAGGGCACCGGCGGCACCGCGCGCTCCGCACCGAGCGCCCGCGCGCGCCTGCGCGCGAACGCGACGGCCTCGCCGCCACCACCCCGCCCCGGCCCCGCCGGGGGGATACGTCACCCCCGCGCGACACCGATCCAGCCGCGGCGGGGGCGGGGCGGGATGAGGGCAGGGGGAGGGGCGGGGCGGGCGGCGATTGGGCCAGAGCGGAGCGGGGAAAGGGCGCGTCGCGCGGCGATGACGCAATGGCTTTGTGCGCGCGGCGGCGGCGCCGGGGCAGCAGCGCGTCCTGCGGCTCGCGGGGGCCGCGCGGGGCCTCCCAGAGCCGCCGGGCCCGGCCCGAGCGCCAGCGGTGAGCGGGGTGGGGGCACCGCAGCTGGACCCGCGGGAATACCTCGGCTTCCACTCCTCCCGCCGCTCCCGGGGTCTTCCACACGCGCGGGGACGCGGCCGGGGCCGGCCGAACTCGCGTCCCTGTGTCGGTCCCCGCGCGCCGGTTCAGCGCAACCCTTGGGAGCTGGAGGAGTCGCGCACGCCTCGGGAGGTCGCCCGTGGTGCCCCCGGGTTTGGCGTGACGCTGGTGTACCGCTTCGTTCCCCACTGCACGCAGCCCAGGGTTCCGCGGGAACGCGCCCTTCCGACCCGCGGGGCAGCAGCGCCCGTGGACTGGGGTGTCCCTTCGGTATCTGCGTTACGATCGCCCCTTCCCTTTTTGCCGTCTTGGCGCAAGAAATAGTTGCTAACCAACTGTAGGGTTTTAGTTTCCGATGGTAATATGAACTCGGCAGAAATTCACGTGGCTTTGGTGGCTGTGTTGTCCTGCTTTTATAAAATCTATAAGAATAAAGCTTGGTCGTGGTGGTTAACGCCTTTTTTTTCAGATAAGTGAAGAGTAAAAACGCTCTGATGCTTTCTTTTTTCTATCTCTTAGGCTAAAAACAATAAACAGTTGAACTTCTCTTTATGAAACTGATCATCACTCAAGTGTAGTTTTTGATGTATGGTCTCTAAAGCCCCCCACTATGCCAGCAGCTACTGTAGACCATAGCCAAAGAATCTGTGAAGTTTGGGCTTGTAACTTGGATGAAGAGATGAAGAAAATTCGTCAAGTTATACGGAAGTATAACTATGTAGCCATGGTAAGTGGGCACTCAACCTCTGTACCAAATTATCTCAACAACCATCATGACTTCAGTTGAGTCACTAAACTTCTTCATCCAATTTGGTTGAAAGAATAATGGGTTCTTAATGTATGTGAACATCAGGATGGTGATTTGTTACCTTTTTAAAAGCTAAATTTACACACAGTTCAGCTATGAAACTGTTAGATATTACAAATGAGCCATGTAAGTCTTTATGCTTGTTGTCTGTTCAAGTTTTAATTCTGCTCTTGCAGGACACAGAATTTCCAGGAGTGGTTGCAAGGCCTATTGGAGAATTCAGAAGCAACGCAGACTATCAGTACCAACTATTGCGCTGCAATGTCGACTTGCTAAAAATAATTCAGCTAGGACTGACATTTATGAATGAGCAAGGAGAATATCCTCCAGGAACTTCAACTTGGCAATTTAATTTTAAATTTAACTTAACGTAAGTATGCAATTTCTGTGCTGCTGAATGTATGTTTCTGACTTACTGAAAATAAGTAATATATACTTTTTTGTATATATCTCAACTTTCTTTTTATCTCTCTGATTGGAATATTGGAATACCGTAGATACTTTATTGTGAGGAAAATTTTGTCAGCCAAACAAGTGCTTTCTTCCCTCCTTTCTGTATAGTCTGTCTTACTGTTGGTGACTTGGTCAAAAAACGCTAAGCGGCTTCAACAAAAGTTTTCCAAAGGCCTGTTTATACTTAGTGCATGTGTTAGCTCTGTGCTTTCATGTTCAGTATTTCAGAATGCTTCTGCCTTAATTTAGTTCTTACTAGTTGTTACAGAAATCACATATTGTTTGTTTACATACTTTAAATGGAAAATACCAACAGTTGAACAAAAAGAACAGTTACTGAAGTGACTAAAGAAGTATGTCAGACGTTACCTGCAGGTTCTGAATTATTTTGTCTTAAGTGTTGGTTAAAAAGCAAGCTAATTGTTACGGTCTATTCATTTCACAATGTGATTTTTATTAGTGATAAAACTTTAAGCATAAACCTCCCTTTTTCAGAGGGATCAAACACTTATGTGGCACTCTAATTATATCTTTAGCTGGTGGTTTACAAAGTTACTAGTATCTTGATGGTTTTGTTTTCCTGTAGTAAACATAATTGGTCTGATAGATTTTTGTATGTTGATTATCTATTCAATATCATTGCAAACACTTCTGGCACATTTAAGAGTGTTGAAGCCTTGGGGTTTTTTGGCAGTTTGTTACAAGCTGATAACTGGACAACTTTATATACATGAGTTAAAACTGTAGTCTGCAAAGGAGGTTTAGAGAAGAGACTTTTTTTTCCTGCAGATAAAAAGGTTTGTTTTCAAAGTAGTGGGGGTTCTTAAAAAGAAGAAAACTGCTGCTGTCTCCCTTGATCTTTCTGCTCTTTTAAACAAGCAGTGCTATGGCTTGTCACAAATCAGTTTGGTCTGAGCAGTGACACACTCTATTTAGTCTTGTTTGAAGTGTCTCTTGAAAGAAAAGTAAGTGCAGATATTTTGGTATGTCTGAACTTACCTGGCCATATGCATGCTGGATGGAAACTATCCATTTTCTTGATAGAATATACTAATCCTGCTAAGTAGGGGAGAAAGAGGAGTGAATTAATAACTTCAAACTGTGATCCGGGAAGAAGAGCCTGTGCTATACTCTTTTTATTTTCTGAGCTTCAGAGGTCTACTTAATGTCAAGTAAGTGAAACCAAAAGTAGTTTTCCATCCATTTTTTGCCACATACTGCAGAGATAAGATGGCTTAGTAAAGCAATATACAGATAATCACCCAACTAACTTGTTACTAGTTCACTGATTTTATAGAAAAACTTAAGCTTGGTAAGTATTGCATGTAACATGAATATATATATATATATAATTTTTTTTTTCATGGAAGGAGAACTTAATTATTTTTATCTGTTTCTAAACATCCTTTTGGAAAGTGGCACTGTGCCAAGTGTTCTGCTCCTAAAGCAAAACAGCTGTTGTTTGTTCATAGAAGGTAATTTTTTTGTGTATGTGTGGTTCCAGCCAGGTCTTGTTTTAGTGTGCTTTTAAGGAGCATAAGTATTTCTCTAATTGAACTGTGCACCTGATTAGTGCAGAGCAACAATTAGAATTAAAACTCCTTTTTGTAAAATGGTGGGTTTATTTTGGATGGGTGCTTTAATGTGTTATGGAGAAAGACAGGTGTTGGGAAGCTGATGCCTTAAAGCTGGAGAACTAAAGAACATCTGTGTGGGAGGGAGGAAAAAAGATACAACACATCTTGAGAATGTATCTCTATGTTCTGATGAATGATGACTTGCTCTTAGGAATAAGGAATATAAGCCTATGACTGATTCTAATAGTCAAGTTTGATATATTGGTTGTCTTGTCTGGATTTTTTGATGTGTTTTGTTTCAGTTGTTTTTTACTAAAATTTAAAACTTTACACAGAAGAGACTGTGGAATAGTATGTTGCAGACAGTAAAATGAATATAATCTAAATAGACTCATGTTTGCATGTTTAGTTTTTTGTTTGTTTGTTTTTTTTTTTCAGATAACCATTCTATGTTTTTGTTATGATGATACAGATTAAACTTTAGGGGGGGAAAACTCAAAACATCAATTTCATCATAAAATCCTTAAAACTTCATGAAATTGTTAGTGGTAAAGGGAATAAATACAGTAGTAAGAGGGCATCAAACAAGGAATAGAGGAATTTTGTTTCATCCTGTTAAATTTTAGGTCCAAAATATGGCTATTGAAGTTGAAATTGGTTGTTTAGAAAGAAAACATTAGGCTACCTGAATTTTAAGGATTGAATAGATGGAGCAAGTACTCAATTTTCAATTGTAGCAAGAAGGAAGTTTTGATGAACATGTGTCTAAACATTTACATATGCTTGAATCATGAAAAACCTGTGGGAAATATTATCCAGCACTGGGATCTGGAGAGTGCTGTTCCTAGTTCTGTAATGAAATGTGTTAGTGCTTCAGCTGTTACATGCAATTTGTCACAGTTAAGTAATGAATACAGATACTTTACTGCATAAGATCCACAGATTCACTTTCCTCTGTAGATTTGCAGAAGAGGGGTTATAGATAACTGGAAGAGAAGCAGGAACTAGGTTTTTTTATGAAGATGGCATAGATGGAGGTGCTGGGAATTTTTTTACTTAAGGTAAAAAAAATGCTTTGAAAAAATGGTTGATTTTGTAATTAACCCAGAACAAAGTCAAGTTGCTCCTGCTCTATGCTAGTGAAGTCTGTGGAATAAATAGCAAAAAAGAGATGTTACCAGGTTTATAATCACTGAGATTTGTAGATTTTGGAACTTTACTTTTCCTCTCTGTTTTTAGAGAAGATATGTATGCTCAGGACTCTATTGAACTGTTGACGACATCTGGTATCCAGTTTAAAAAGCATGAAGAAGAGGGAATTGAGACACAGTATTTTGCAGAACTGCTCATGACATCAGGAGTTGTACTGTGTGAAGGAGTCAAGTGGCTTTCCTTTCATAGGTAAATTCTGCATGTTAAGTATTTGGGGTTTCAACGTTGTGTATTGAACTCTAGAGCTTAGATTTCACATCTCATGGGCTTAAGTGCTGTGCATCTGATGGTGTGTGTAGCACATAGCTCAGCTGGTAAGAGTTAGAAAATATTTCTGCTGTAATACCTCTAACACCATTCTGTGAATAGAGAATAAAGGGTACGGGAGGTACTAGTGTTTTATATTTGATGTTTACACGGTAAAGAGAAAACTGTAAAGCCGAAAGATGTGAGACTCCTCGGCCAGCTGGTGGCGCTGCACACGTGCAGGTAATAGCGGTGATGGAAGAGAGCTATTCCTAAGCAACTGTTGAGCAAATTATGGGAGAGACCACTGCAGAATTATCAGTGAAGACTTTTATAAAGCACTTCTAAATTTGCTGTAAGTCTCCTGGGAATCTGGGCACCAAAAATTACTCAGCCTAGAAGGAGATCCCTGATAAACCTTAATTCTAGTTGCAGTAATGAATATATCTTACTGTTTATTCCATCACAGGAACCCATCTTTCAAGTAGAAATAGAATTGTGAATGCTAAATCTCTATGAATCTGTCAAGATACAGAAGATTTCTGAGTGGTAGTAAGATTTTTAATGCTTTAAAATATATGCAGTGGTCATTGTGTAGCCGACTAGGTGCCAGAGATAATTTGCACTTTTTGCAAGCAGCGGTGTCTTTAAAGGCTTATTGCTATGTAATGTCCTTGAATTAATGTCTTAAATTCTGGCTACTAAGGAAGTTAGCAAAGGTAGAGTGAACGTTTTAGCTGAGACTAGTTTCCTTACAGCTTTATTCATGTTTATCACTCATGTTGCATTGGTGGGTGGTAATATGTAAATGATGAAATTAGAAAAAAATCTGATTCTTCATCCGTAAGTATTAAATGTTGGAGGAGCCAAAGTCACATGGAATTAGAGAAGTATTTATGCTATAAACCAACTGAAAAATAAGGATTGCTTTGGTAAGGAATATAAAGTGGTAGAAAAAGGGTGCATATAACATTCTGTTGTAGAAGTCATTGTTTTGATTTTTGTAGAAAGAAGTGTTAGGCTGAGTTTCCAAAGGAGAGAGGTTGGAAAGAAAAGACAGTTAAAAAAAGAAGGATCCTCTGAGTACATTTGTCACATCTTCCACTTACAGCTGTCTCAACTCACAATATGAATCCAAAGTAATCTTACTCTTGCTGTCTTGCTACTGGGGTAGCAGCTGGTGGAAGAATACTGCAACAAGAATGCCATAAACTACTTCAAAATAATTACAAAGGCCAAAGCAGCAAATTAAGTTTTTTTTCAGCTTCTTAAACCCGTTATTATGGGCTCGTATGTGTATATTTGTGATTAACACTTGACTTGAGAAATATAACTTGGATGCTTCAAGAGAAGGGGAGGCAGGTTGTGCATGTAATTGGTGCATCAGCAGAGACTGGTATGTTGAAGCAGCTTCAGCCCCAAATGGTGTTTTTCCAATATTGCCTGATGATTTAAGGGCCCAGTATAAGGTATACCAGAGCCATTTCTACAGTAAGGATTCTTTTTTAAGCATATTTATATGTAGCGTGTATAATTCCTGACTAATAGGCTGGTCAAAGTGTAGTGCAAGCTGTGTGCAATAATGCCATTTTTACTGGTTTAGCCTATGAAGGATTTCATCTGTACTAAAATCAGTTTCTGTTGTGTATTTCACTGAACATGTCTTTAGAAATCTTCTTAAGACAGCTATTCCAGCAAATGTTTGTCGAACACTGACTATCAGAGTGTTTAAAGGCTTTTGATTTTTGCCAGGGCTTGTTGATACTATCTTGAGCACAAAACCTTGGAGTAAGTGGGTTACTTTGCGAGGAAACCAAGATTGCACAAAGCTGTAAATGAGCACAGGTCATATAAAATGTGCCACAAAGAATAGTGAATAGCTGTTTCTAAATATATTTTAGATTGATTGTGATTATGTTCTATCAGCAGGACGCTCAGCTGAAAATTTCTTCCATGTAGGCCCTCATGCAATAGTTCTTTGACTGCTGAAAAAGCTGTGCTTGATAGTTGCTGACTCTGCTATTGCTTCCATTTCCTTAAAATGCTTTAATTACTACTAACCCTTAAAATTTAAGTCCCATAGGAAGTGGACAGAGGGGAATTACTCCTTTCTTGTTGTGAGGTTATGGTTTGGTTTTTATTTCCCAGTCCTTGATTTCCTTGAACTCTTATGCATTTTATTTCTAAGCTCTTCGCTTCTCAGATAGTTTTCTTTGTGTGCTTTTTATCTCTGCATTTGTTATAGCTGCCTTAGCATCCTGACATATATTGGCAAATCTGTATGGACCTGCAGTTCTGACAGACATGAGTGAAGAAACATTTGCACTGTCATCAGTTCTTGTGTACTGCAACTGCATAGGCAACTCCATCAAGTCTTTTGAGCGTGTGTGTGCATTAAAATGTACTCGAGTCAGTGAGAGAGGAGGGGGGAAGCCCTGAATTTCTGATCCTTGTCACAGTCAAAGAGCTGTGTGTGCTTGGCAGTCTAGCAAGTTATAAAGAAACAGCTCAAATGCTGGTCTTGTGGATGTTCAGCTGACTGCTCTGCTGAAGCTTTTTAGTGTCCACCTGTGTGCAGCCTCCTCTGTCTACCTTTGGAGGGTCTGTGAAAACACGCTTTTTTGAAAACAAAAAACCGCATGTTTTTGGGATGCTGGAAAGTTCCAAGCTGTTGTGTTTCAGTAATCATTTGTGTCTAACTGATTTTAGTAGAATTTAATCTGTTGGCTCATATCTGTTAGCTCATTATAAAATGAAGTAAAGCTCTCTCAGCTCTCACAGGTTTTGATTTATTTTAGAGACTTGGTGCTTGAGTAGACTTCATTGTTAATTAGCTATCTGAATTATTTTGAATAGGAAGGGAAAGAAATGCAGGCCTGTTTGATCTTCTCTATGGTCTCATTGCCTACAGCTGTCCATGTTCAGTGAAAAAACAAAACAAATGTCTGTAAGAGTGCTTATGTTGTATAGCTCCATGGATTGTGGCTCACTGCACTAAGCAACTTCAGGTGATTATATTAGAAATGGTGAAAGGCTTTTAAGGAAAGGAAGCCTATGTGCTTCAGGGTATAAACCAACCACTAATTGCCTGTTAGAGTATTAGAAGAAAACTTTTTTAATGAGCAGGTAATTACATAATTGCTCACCATGGACTTTCTTAGCCTTCTGTTAGCATTCAAAATGTTTTTAACTGGGTATATCTTAGTCTTGAATTGGAGTGACAGTTTTTATGCCTATGTAAGCTTGGATCTGCTACAGTCTCCCAGAGAAGAAAGTGTGTAATTCTCAATCAAAACTGCACATTTGTGGTAGCCTGCTCACTCTCAATATGTGCATAGTAAATGCATGTTGACTTTTCTTTTTGTACAGTACTTCCTTCTCAAGAGAAAGTATAAGTGTTTAAGAGCATCTGTTTTCTAGTAATTCAGTCTTGTACATAATTTTTTTTAGAAGAGAAGTCAAATATTTTTGAAGAGGAGGAGCACAAATACTGGGGTTTTTTTTGCTTTAAGAGTTTTAATACGACTGTTACATTTGAGCCATGAGGATGATCAATGTCAGGAGTTCAGTGAGTTAATAAACCCTAGTCTCTAGAGCAGCAAATCTCCTTAATCCTGAACAGTCTTTTTTTGCATCTTTTTGAACAGCCTTTTTGCTAATGTGGCTTCTTTATTTTTTTCTGTAGAGGGCTTTATGCTGATCCAGGTTTTCCCACCTTCCCTCCCCCTTCAGATGATCTAATAAAATTCCAAGCCACTGTTTCGCCAAGTATACTGCAATTTTTACTTTGTAAGAATCGACTGAAATCCTTCTTTATCTTTGACTCCTTTGCTCCCTGGCCAGTGGCTGCTGCTGTGGAGATTGGAAGGCAGCCAGCACAGCTTCAAAGCACCAGATGCAGTGCAGGATTTGTTCAACATGAAATTTTTAGAGTACTGGAAAGCCCCGTGGGAGAGCTGCAATAGTCTGTATCTCTTGTATGTCTTATGTGAATGGACTTACTGGGAATGAATGGACTGTTTCCTATATGTTAAAGGTTTTTCTACCCTCTGTCTAGAAATTCATAATATAAAGATGTAGAGAAGCTTATATATATAGAAAAGATACAAAAAGTAATCCTATTTACACTGAGTATGCAAGCTGAAGCCTTGAGCCTACATCAGAAGTCACCAGTGTTTGTGGATTCTAAATATCCTCAGGATAGCGGTACAGTGCTCTTAACTGATTTGTCTTTTCTATTGCTCATCTCACAGTTAAAGATCTTGGTCAGTATTTACCAAGCTGCAAAATTCTTGGGTTTGAGTATGATCCTTGTGTAATCAAGAATGAACACAAAGTCTTAAACTTGGAATTTGGAGTCTGTGGTGGCCACCTGTTCACTTGAATCAGCTCTCAGCTCTATGCTAAGGTTCCTTAAATAGCAGAACTGATGCAGCCTTCGGTAGAGGCAGCCCTGCTGTGTGTTTTCATCTTCTTTGTTAGTACAGGCATTTTTATGTATGTCAGTAAAATCTAGGAACTGGTTTGGTTCAATGCAAACTTAATAACCTAGAAGAGAATATATCAGTCCTTTATCTAGTTCAGTGCATATGTGCATGAGCAGTCCTGCAAGTACAAGGGATCAGAACAGATCAGATTCATGATAAGGTCATGAATAATCTGGTTGTAATTGCCCTCCTAGGGAAAACCATACCTAGTTATCCCTGCTTTTTGTTGTGGTGTTCAGTCCTGCTTAATACCTGAATTCTGTCTTTCCTATACTTTAAGCGCTCTTGTTTCCTCTCATAACCCTTTGTAAAAAGTACGTGGTTTCTCCTTTTACTGCCACACCTCATTCCAATGTGCTCTTTCTTCAGTCAAGCTATCGAGGAGGAAGCCTTTCCAAACTCTTCTTTCCACCATGCACACACTATAATACCTCAGTTCCTTCTAACAAATATGTACTGCTCAGTTATCTTGCTGCTTCCTGCAGACTTACATGTACACACAAAAATTTTTCCAGCTTGTTTTGTCATTGCCTCCAGAAAGAGAAATAGTCTACAAGCTATTAATTTTTTCAGTTGTCTGTGTGCAGATTTAATTGGCAAAATTAAAGATAATCCCTCTTTTTCTTTGCTGAGGCTTACACTTTCTTCCAGGCATAAACATGCATTGGCTCTGGAAACTCATCTTTTGGATTTCAAGAACTGTAGACATTTCTCTCTGTCTCACTCAGTTTGTAGTGAGAAACTCCAGTCTGTGTGAAAGAAACCAGCTTAACAGTCCTTCTGGTGTGAGTTCTTGTTATCAGATGAAGACCCAGCAGCACTACATTATCTCAGGATTTAGAGAAACTCCTGTAGGCAGATCTTTTTGCTTCTTCACTTTGCCTCATGCAGACTAAATTAAAATGGTTTTTCTGGAATCTGCAATGAGGCCATTTACATTGAGGTTTATTTTTTCATAGAAGTTGGTCTTAATTGCATTGAAATTAAGCAAAATGTCCAGTTAATGTGCAGTAAAGTCGTGATGTTGGAAGTGAGAAGTTATTTGGTTATATTGTTTTTGTTGTTAATTTGCAGCGGATATGACTTTGGCTATCTAATCAAAATCCTGACAAACTCCAATTTACCTGAGGAAGAGTTGGACTTCTTTGAGATACTGCGGTTGTTTTTCCCTGTCATCTATGATGTAAAATATCTCATGAAGAGTTGCAAAAACCTGAAGGTAAGTAATTTGTTAATATCTCAGAACAAATTTTGCGTCTGGAGATAGAGTACTTTGTGCTTAAAAATATATATTTTCTATATTTTTATTGTCTGGTTTTGCTCTGATAGTGCCTACTGAGCACTGTTGTCTCAAGCTTCGTATGTTTAATATTAAAGGCAATTCTTAGAAGCAGGCAGGAGCACAAATCTATTTTTATAACTACTTACCAGTTAAAAATATCACGGTACTGTATTTACAGTGCTTTGTTGATAGATGATAAACCCATGTTTGGAATTAATTCTTCATTTCCTTAGCCATGAGAATTGATAGGTTTCATATACTCTTATTTCCTTATTGTGCAGCCCACTAAAGGACTGCAGTCATCTAGGCAAAGGTAATTGCAATGAAGATCATGTGGAAATGTCTTGGGAAGAGGAATGGAATGAAGAATGTTTCAGATGGCCCTATAACGAAAGATAAACAACAGCATATGTTCAGGGACAACATGTGACTTCTAGGAAAAAAAAAACCAAACTAGAAACTAATCTGTCATGTCAGGCCAGTGGGGCTATTAATTGGCTTACTCTATCAGGCATGAAATTTGGATACTTTATTGGACTGGAGAATTAATGGGAACTGGAATTGATTATGTGAAGGGGAAGACAGCAAGTGAAAGAAAGATGCTAAAGGTACTGTTAACAGCCTTACTTGCCAAAGAACTGGACTACTGCTGGAATGAGGTGCATTGCTCATCTGAGGCATTCGATGACTTGTTGCTCTTATGGAAAGTAACTTTCTAGGCTTTCTTAAATGAAAACCTGCAGGAAGAAGAGAACACTCACCTTAGTAAAACCAAATCCTAACTAAGGAATGGCTTGCCACTTTGTTGTACTGAACAAGTGATCTGTGTGCTGTTTATAGGCCTCTGTTTCTTTCTGAGAAAAGAGTGTGTCACTTTGAGTATAACCTACTTGTGTGAGAAGTAAATTAACTTTGTTAATGAAATTAATGATGAAAATGTAGACCACCCTTCCAGTTAGTAAGAAAAGTGTGGCTATCTGTTCATCTGCAGTTGTTACTGATATAATCAGCTGTACAAATGGCTGAGTATTGGAGAACATCTTAGAAGCAGTTTTTCTTCACGGAGGCCAGGAACAAAAATCAAATACTCCTAAACTTCAGGAGTCTTAAATGAGGGGTAGGGAGGAGGCTCCCCCCAGAAAAAAACCCCTCATTTTCTCACTCCTGATAAAGGAAAGTAAAGCATCTGGTGTCTTAGCGGTAGTGACACACTTAGCAAGAACAGAATGTAAATTCTAAATTTAGTGACATAGGAAAGGTAACAGATTGATGTTCTGTGTCACTATTCCAGAGGTGACATTCCCAGTGAGTTTGGGGAGGAGAGGATTCAGTTCGTGACATTTCATTAAGACATAGTTGTGTGTAACTTGCATTGTTTAGAGACACTAAGATCTTTTGGAAGACAGGAAAAACCTTCACAGGTCTTATTTCAGCAAACCATAAGAACAAGGGTGATTTTTTTTTTTTCCCTAGAGTTGAATATGTAGATCAGCTTTCCTGCAGTAAATTTTGATCCTGTCACCTCATCTGCAGACTAATAGTGACAGCAGGGGAGTGGGAATGGACTATCTTACCCCTCCAGATTTACCAGTGATGAAATGATGGTGGACTTGAGCTGTACTGAGAGAAGCTGCCTGAAACAAATTACTAAACATTCAGTGTTGTGACTCTAAAAATGCATGCACTGTCTCCTAATGTGTGTCGCTTTCAATCTGTATTAAATGAATTGAACAGTGAATTGAACAGCTGTGCCATTGTCTTTTATTGACTTGTCTAAGCTATTTTTCATATGAAAGTCACTGACTTGCTATAGGTCTCCCACTCTCTGTTCCCACACAACTCAAAAAGATTTTTGGCATTGGAAAGAGAAACATGTTTCAGGATTGGAAAGATGTTTGATGCTTTTTTTGTGGAATTAAGTATTCTGTGAATTTATAGTATATTATTCTGACTTCACTGGCATGCAGATTGGGAGATACCAATGTAGTATAAATTAAACTTACTTATTCTCTAAAAAAAGCTTTTTATGTAGACAATTCCAAACCTTTTGATAGTAGTGGCAATCCTAAGGACTGTAGATTGATTGACCTTGTCGGAAACTTGCTTTTAATATGGGGATTTGTACAGAACAGTGAACTCTGGGAATGTGCCCTGAAATGAGAATTTGAACTGGATTTGCTGTTGACCATGGTTGTATGATTATGTAAATCATTCTGTGGCCTTTTTCTTGGAAGGCCAATGCTGTGAAAATTTAGGAAGAACTTGTCCTTCTCCTCCAAGAGTGAAGTGTACTTAGCCGAGTGCAAAAGGCGTGCCTGAAGGAGAATCTCAATAGCCTGTTAATTTTCTGTCCTGATTCTGGTCAGCACATGGTTAATTTTTGCAGTAGCCAGGAGGGGGCTTGGCTAGGACACAGGTTATTCTGTACCACCTAACAGCATTTTTTGGGTCAGGGGGTAGAGCTCGATGCTGTGGTGGAGTAGCATAGCAGAGGGAGCAGTCAGATATTGTCAGGGGTTTCTGCAGGGTGAGCAGTAATGTGTCTTTTCTTGTACACACGGGCACTAGTATTGTTGCTGTTACTGTGCATTTTCTTAGCTCATTGCTGTTTTCCAGTAAATCGTTCATATTTCAACCCGTGATCTTTACCTTTTGTGCCTTCAGTTCTCCTTTCTAGCCTGCTGCCAGGGGAAGGGCAGTGGGGAGTGAGTGAGTGGTGTGTGTTTTGGAGTGGTTTCAGTGGGAACACTTAAACATTCTTAAACCATGACATTTTCAGAGACAGCCAAATTTTATTCTGTAATTATTGCACTTACAGACCAAGAAGTTCCACACAAAAATGGTATATATTTACAAATATATATACACACACCATTAAAAGCACTATTTTCAATGCATTCTTTGGTAGGCTGCTGTTACTGTAATTTTTGTATTACTAAGTCTGCATTCTAGAGCTTGCAGCTGCTGTGTAAATATTGATTTTTATTCTGGAGTGTTCCTCAAAGTTATTTGGAGCTAGAGTAGATAGTCTTACAGCTAGCAGAACCTGATAATGAGGCACTGCTAATTTGCAGCTTGACGAAGTAGAGAGTTAGGAGCAGAAACTGGTACCTTTAAAAGGGTTTGGGTCTAACTGCTGTGGTGAATTAGCAGCTCATTATTGGAGTAAGAAAGCAGAGAATATACTTGTGCCTGAGATGTACTCTTTTCCTTGCTGGCCACCAACCCTCAGCATGATTTTGAGAGCGTAAGTTAACCGAGCAAGTTTGCAGTGTTCAAGTGCTCTGTCTAAGCACATAAAACAAACCAGCTTCAGGACTTAACTGTAAAGCATATAGACTAACCTTAAACTTTTGTAAACTGTATTCCTGCTGCTTAAGACAGAATAAATCTATCTGTACCAGTGCTGTTGGTTTGTAGGTGTTACTTAGGAATATTATTATTGAAGATTCCTTTTTTTTTTTTTAACAAAAATGTGGACCCAAAGCTGTTGCCATAAGAGTCATGGGAATTTTCATAATGTTTGATCTGAATTTCAGGTCAGACTACTTTATTGCTCCATGAATTTTACATTTGACGTGTTACGCTTTTGCCTCTTATTGCTTCCCTTTACCTACTTGAAACAGGTTAAAGAGTGCAAGGAAAGGTGAACTCTAGGCATTGAAAAGCGTTGCCTCTGTGCAACATTTTTGCCTCACAGAGCTTATGGCAGCACTGAGGATTTTGTTGGTCTGTTTTTTTTAATCTTTCTAGACCTTAAAGAATGTGCACGTGCTTTAGTCTTTCCAGTAACTTTATAGCTTAATGAATTAAAAAAAGAATTCTACAATCATGTGCTCACAGCATTAAAAGATTGCAGTTACAGTGTAACGTTTGTCCTTCAACTGATCAGTGTTATCTAAGTATAACCAAACCAAATTCTGACAAGTTTGCTCCCACACGTAGCAGTTACTACTGTTTTGGAGCGGACACTAAAAGGGGGTTTATTTAGTCACTCTGCAGTTAAGGGGGCAGTTTTTCACATCAGCTTATTGGGAAGAAAATTTGTCTCAAAACTGAAGAAGTTTTATCTTTTAGAGCAGATATGATTTGCAGCTTTGGTGTGTTGTCTACAGCTTCACAATCTGTCCTGTTCTATCAACATTCAAAATGGACAGTTACCATTTTAAAATTGTTCCCTTTTTGTATGTCAGATATTTATATAATTTTTTTAAGAAATAGGTTTTGTTGCACATGTCTGTTAAATGTATATTTTTAACAGAAAAGCTGTTAAAGATGGCTACACCATAGGACTCTAGTATCTTAGAAAACTGGTTGCAAGATGATGGATTATTTTTGCATGTTTTTTCCCCTATTCTCTTACAGCAGCTAATGAAACAAACTGTTAAAAGGGATAGAATGTCCTGTAGAGATGGAGGGAGCACTACCTTCCTCTTTTAACTTTGCCACCTGGTTTCTGTATGTCTGTGGTCTAACATATTCCTGGGCTTCCTGTAGTGTTCTAGGTACTTAAGAATACTCTTGGGTTTTGTGAAGGGATGTGGAAAAACCCTCAGCTTAATTGTTGAAAGGCTAGTGGGGAGAAAGAAGTCTGTTTCAGAAGAAGCCTAGACACTTTAACATATGGAAGCATACAGGCATGTCATTTGTAAGCGCTTGAACTGTTGTTTTTAAAAGGCAAAAATGTCATTCTACACTTTTGTTCAAATAGAAGTATAGGAACACCTGGTTTTGTTCTTAAGCATTGCCAGTCCTCCTTTCAAAATCTTGAAAAAATTGTTAAGTAGTATCATCTGGTTACTGGACCAACTGGAACATTAGTAGTCTTGTTGGACACAAATACTGTCTTATTTAATCAATTCTAACAGAATTTTAATGCTGCTATTGATACAGAAAGTTTGATTCTCCAGGTGTCAATTAATCTAGTACAATTGACTGTTTCAACAACTGAGCAAATGTTAAAATATACCTGAGGTTATATGACCTGTGTAACAGCTTCTTTCCCAAGTATAGCAGTTCAGTTTTGATTTAACTTTTTTTTAGCAGTTAACAAAAGTGTTTTCTTTTTCAGGGTGGATTACAAGAAGTGGCTGAGCAGTTAGAGCTGGAAAGGATAGGACCACAGCATCAGGCAGGATCCGATTCTTTACTCACAGGAATGGCCTTTTTCAAAATGAGAGAAGTAGGTGAATGTACTGTTTATATTTCCATGATTGTAATGTGCTGTGACAGTCACACAGAATTGCTGATTCTGATAAGTCTGTGGTATTTTAGGGAGGTCTCTAAAGGGCTTTAGGGGTCAATCCTTTCTTGACAGAAATAAGACTTACCTGCATTTTCCCCAGAGTAAGTGTGAACCACCTGTACTGATTCCCTGCTTAGCTGCTGTGACTATTGCTTCACATTTCCAGCCTGTGCCTGTCTTTTGGATTTTTTGTGAATTTTGTTTTGGAGTTTTTTCCTTACCTGTTTTGGAGGGTACCTTTTTTTAGGTGGGTGCTGCAGTGAGTAATGAGCTGCTGGAGCCAGACTTCCTTCTGGGAGACTATGCTCAAGACAACTTTTTTTTTTTTGAGCTTCTGCTCAGTGTAATACTCAGCTGGTGTGCACTGCTGCTTGTGACAGGCTGAGAGGTGGGGAAGGAGTGTTGACTAACCACTTCTCGCTAAACTTTCAGGCTACAGGTATATTAAATAATGACTTTCAGGCTGTTGTGGAGAATGTCCATGTGTTTCTTCTTCCTTACCGTTAAACGACGCATAACTTGCTGATGTTCTAAAAGATTATATATCAGTCAATTAATTCAAGGTTTACAGCAGGGAAAATCAGCTCTTATAAGCTTCGCACTTCCTTGCTGCTTGTCCGCATACAACAGGAAGATATTAGGATATTTTGCATTAGCAGAACAATCAAATACTGAACAGGCCTCTTCTGGAAAGCAGTTCACTGGACAAACGCCAGTGCATCAGAACATGGCATTCTGCCAGCAATTCAGTGTCATTTACCATGTCGAAATAGATGGTAATATCAAACCTCATCTTTTAATAATTTTAAGCACTGTAGGCTGAGGTGTCTACCTTCTGTAATGCAGCCTTTTGTATGAAGGAGAAAATGATCACAAGATTCTGACAAATACTGGTGAGACAGCTGGTGAATAATAAATGATGTAGTTTAAGCTGGTTTGCTCATCCTAACACTGCTGGAACTGTTGTTGTTGTCAAGCAGGTCATGGGCTACAGATGTAATAAAAAGGATTATGTTTTTGGTATGATCCAAGCGCAGTGCAACTAACTGCTGTCTGCCTGGTTAATTTTTCACTCTTAAATTTGAAATGAAATGAGTATTACTATGTTAATAATATCATCTTTTGCACCTTGGAATTTAATATCTTATTCAAAAAGAAAGTAACATTATAAAGCCTTTCTGTAGTTCTATTTAAACTGAACCTTTTCTAATAATTTGTGTCTCTCTTCTAACTCTTTAGATGTTCTTTGAAGATCACATTGATGATGCCAAATATTGTGGCCACTTATATGGCCTTGGTTCGGGCTCATCTTATGTACAAAACGGCACAGGAAACGCTTATGAAGAAGAAGCCAACAAGCAGTCATGACATGAAATGAAAGGCCATCTTTTTGACCTCCACATGCTTGTATATAGGTTTTATCTCTGGCTGAACCCCTTGGACAATAAGGCTTTTTTCCCCCCTTTCTCAGTACACTTTCTTTTCTGCCTTTCTATGTACTAAACTTGACTGTTCCTATCACAGATTTTGATCTTGATATGTAAAATTTTCTGGGTTACATTTTGGCCTCTTAACTAGCCCATTTGTAAAGAAGCATGTATAGGATCAGTGTGGAAGAGAGAAGGGGAAAGTTGAATCATAATGAACAGTCTGGTAAATTTACCTATATTGTTTTTCCAGTTTTTTGTCTCTTTCCCCTCCCTTCCTCAATTAATTGGCTCTGATTGTAATTAACTTCCCTCTTCATGTCTGTTCCTTCCACTGTGCAGGCGTTTTAGCTATTCAAGATTGTGGACCATCAGATTTGCACTTTAGAGAGAGACTGACTCAGATCCTCTGTTTTATTTGAAGTTTGTTTTGGTTTTTTCTCTTGCCCTCAGCTAGAAAACAATCATCTGCCAAGTTCAGCAGCTTCAAGCTGTATTTGCTTGGCATCTCACCCCGTAATCTCTGTTTGTTAAAGCGAAACAAACTACTGAAATCATAGTAACTGCTCTTATTTTACTATTGTTCAGTCATCTTCAAACACATCCTGCACGTGTCAACTGCTGTTTGGCCTGCTGCTTTAAAACCACTCTGTGATGGGGGAAAGAGGCTTGAAAAAACAGCTTTACACCCTTCAGGAAAAGAACAGCTATGGCTTTAGCCTTTTTGCCATTAAGCTGAGAGTTGAAGAATATTGGAAAAGTAGAAGTCTTGTAATGGCACACTTCCCTTGATTAACCTCCTAGCTTTTATTCTAGTAATGTGCACCTCAGATATTTTTTATGAAGTCATATTTATTATGTACTTGATTTCATGATTTTTGTAAGTCAGTTTAGTTGAAGATAAAACCCAAAGATCTGAAAAAATACTATTTAATTGAAATATTGAATTAGAAGGACAATTAAATCATGCTTTTTTGTAGTTGTTACAAAGACAGATGTTACAGATACTTGTTGTGAAACAACAAAATATGAATAATTTACAGCTAATAAAGTTACCTGAGGAGTGTAATGCTAGCTTATTTTTGAGTATATTTTACAATGTATTTTAGATATATCGTTTTAAAGGACCCTGGAGAATGTTCTCAACTCTGCATAGCATATATACAGAGCAGTTGTGCAGGAAGGAGTTTTGGTATTGAATAGCTAAATACTAGCCTGAAATGATGGAACGTGTGACATTGTGTGTCTGCGTGTGCACACGTGTGCGTGACACAGAAATCAATGGTAGAAAAATCTCCAAATGTTCACCAAATATTCTGTTTTATCTTGTACTTAAAAGCAAAAGATCAAACACCTTTCTCTCATTGAATTATGATGATGTAACTGGGCAGTCCTTTTTAAACAAGTAATTTGCATAACAGAGGGTATTTGTTTTTAAAGCTTTTGTAAATAAAGGCCTAAGAAATGTTTTCTTACATAACAACAGACTGGTGGTTTTGTTGCAGAATTTTTCCTGGAATGTGAATATTTAGTCTGTTCAATTCTGTATTCTGTTTTGTTTAGGCATCATAGTTCTCTTCCACATTCTTATAATCTGAGCAAAAATCATGCACATTGAGCAAAATTGTGTTCATAGGTTTCTAGTAATTTCATTTTTATTGACCTGAATTGAAAGAGTGGTGATCACAATTTACTTCTGAGGCATCCTAATCCCATTATTAATTTTAGACCATTATGCATTAGATGATGATGACTTGTTGGTTGTCTTTGTCTTTAATAAGATACTGATAGTGAAAGCAGGATGAATTCTTACATACATACAGGGAAAATTTGCATACACGTGGAATTAAGAACCCTGAAGTTTGATGCATTCACTTTAAAGTAGTAGCTTTGCCTAAAGCATACCGGTACAGCTATCTGGTTAACTTTTGAATGGGATGACTCTTTGATCCTCGATTAAAAAGTTACTTCAAAACAAAAACCCACTAAAGTCCTTCAAAGGAAGTTTTTAGAGCCTTCTAAATATGTGCCTAGAGTAAAAGTTCTAGTGCCAATGGGGATGTGCTTTTGAAGTGACTGCTGAGCATCCCAGATGCTCTGCTGTGCTTTTCTTTGCTTCCTGTCCTAGAATTACAGAATGGTTTGGGTTGGAAGGGACTATATAGTTCCAACCTGCCATGGGAGGAACACTTTACACTAGACTAAGTTGCTCAGAAGTCCTGTTCATCTTGGCCTTTAACACTTCAGGGATGGGGTATCCACAACTCTGTCATGGACAACCTCTTCTGGTGCCTTACCACCCTCACAGTAAAGAATTTTTTCCTAATAATCAATCTAAATCTGCCCTCTTTCAGTTTAAAGCTGTTACTCCTTGTCCTGTCACTACATGTGTAAAAAGTACCTCTCTTGTAGGCCCCCTTTAGGTACTGAAAGGCTGCTGTTAGGTCTCCCTGGAGCCTGCTCTTCTCCAGGCTGAACAAGTCCAACTCTGTCAACCTGCATAGGAGAGGTGCTCCAGCCCTCTAAACATCTTTGCAGCTTACTCCAGCAGTCCATGTCTCTCTTATGTCGCAGGCTCCAAGCTGGACTCAGTACTCCAGGTGGGGTCTCACAAGAGCAGAGCAGAGGGGCAGAATCTCCTCCCTTGACCTGCTGGCTACACTTTTGATGCAGCCCAGGACATGACTGGCTTTCTGGGCTGCAAGTGCACATTGCCAGGTCATGTCAAGTTTCTTGTTCACCAAGAACCACAAGTCCTCCTCAAGGAAGCTCTCAATCTCTACAGCTTGTACCTTTGCTTGGAATTGCCCCAACCCACATGCAGGACCTTGCACTTGGCTTGTTGAACTTCATGAGGCTCACACAGGCCCATCTCTCAAGCTGACATTTTTGTCCAGTTTGTTGACTTCACCGCAGAGCTTTGGTGTCATTGGCAAACTTGCTGAGTGTGCACTCAGCACTTGGAGGAAGTTTGCAATGTCATAAAACTGTCAGAGCTCACTCCTTTTGGAAGAAGCTTAATCCAAAGATGCACAAGAGGTGTGTGTCTCGTGTCCCACCTGCTAATGGGCATGCCATCTGCACGAGCAGGCAGAGTTTGTTTAAGCCCTAGCCTAAAATTATCACTGGGTATTTGACTTCAAGCAATTCTACTCTATAATAGTTTTCTTCCTGTAATAAAAGCTTTTCTCAAAAGCCACATATCAGCATGGAGCTAAGATTATGCTTTATACTGTGAGAGAACTCTTGGTCTGATCACTGCAATCTGTCAAGAGTTGATTATAGCTGGGGAGACATCTGTGAGTCATTCATTTCTTTGGCAAAATTAGATTTAGTTTCCATTAAGGAGTGACTTAAATTGTGAATTGTAGAGATTATGAAAAAAGGAATTTCTTCTTATTTGTAGGACTATTACTTGTAAACTGCAGAACCTGAAATTTGAATCTGTTTCCAAAGTGGACAGCTTTAATTGCTTTTCCAAAAATGAATGTGCAGGCAGAGTTCCAGCTGTCTAGACATGCACCTTTTTGTTCAGAGACAAGAATTCTCTTTCTAGGCCTCTGCTTTTCCCAATTTATTTAAAATACATCATTGTTTGTCAGAAGAAATGAAGTATCAAAACCTCTTATATTTGATGTTTCTTTTTTTAATCCACTTGTATTTTTGGCTTCTGGAGTCAGATCAGTGTTCTAGGAACCTTATGTTCTCTGTCACTATTTTTTTCAATATATGTAATTTTTATTTTAAGCATTTAACCCTCTTGCTCATTGAAACTAGGCAAGGAGAATCTTTGAGGTGGAAGAAAATAGGTCTGGAAAATATTCTGAGTACTTGAAGCTTTTTCCCATATGAATTCAGGGATGAGCTATAATATCTGGCATCCAAGAAATCTTACCTTATTTGACTGGTTACTCTAAGCTCAAGAATGGTTCATTCCCTCATACAGGAAATCAAAGAAAAGTAGCAGGAAGCCTGCATTGATAAACAAGGAGCTTCTGATTCAACTCAAAACAGAGAAAGGTGGGAGCAGGACAGGTGACACTGTCTGACATGTGGATTAAGGGCCTGGGTTAAGAAAGCTAGTCTCTCTGAAGTTGAACCTGTTGAGGGACAAGAAAAGATTCTACAGGGACTTCAGGAGCAAAGAAATATCAGAGAAAATGTGAGACCACTGCTAAATGGGAGCAGGAGACTTATTTACAAAGGACATGGAAAAGGCCAAGCTACTCAATGTTTTCTTTGCTTTGGTTTTTACTCTTAGGATTTGCCTTCAGGAATCCCAGGTCCCTGACATGCTTAGCAAAGTCTGGAATAAGGAAGATTTATCCTTGGTGGCAGAAGGATCAGGTTAGGAATGTATAAAAAAATTGGACGTAAAGAAATTCAGGGGACCTGATAGGATGCACCCTCAAGTGTTGAGGGAGATGACTGATGTCACTGCAAGGCCATTCTTGTTATCTTTGAAAGGTCATTATCATAAGGGTAACTCCCTGAGGAGTGAAAGAGATGTCATTCCTACCTTCAATAAGGGCAAGGAGGACACAGGGAATTGCAGGCTGGTCAACCTCACTGACGCCTGGGAAGGTGAAGAAACAGATAATAATAGAAATGATTTCCAAATATAGAATGGATAAGAAGGTGATTGGAAGTAGTCAGCCTGGATTTATAAAGGGGAAATAATTTCTGACCAGCTTGCTGTATTTTACCCTCCTTTGGGCATATGTATTGGATTAGATGATTACACAGATCCCTTCCAATGCTTTCTCTTGCATCATACGAGAGCACACTTAATGTAGATGGTACTGGGTCCTTATGATGGAAATAGATGAGGCATGAGTAGGGGTGTTTTGTGCCCACAAGGTTACAGGGTGCTTATTAGTCACCCAGTGGAGACCAAGTGGGTACTTTATGTTGTATAGCACGGGCTGGAAGACGTACTCCACCTGGCAGGTAGTATAATTTTACAGTAGTTTCATTTAATAGTTCCAAGTAAAAATTCCTAGCTTATAAGTATTAGTGCTTAAGAAAGCTTATATTTAATTGTGTTGGCTCAAAGTTCTTGAGTGGCAGTACTTGTTTAGCTCTATAAAACTCCTTTGTAGTCATTCAGAAAAACAGGTGAAGGGCTAGCTAAGTCAGCTGGCAATGTGGGTCACAGTCCAGTGTTCTCTGACCAGGTTCTTCTAGATATTCTACATGAGGAAAGCTTAATGCTGTAGAACCAAACTTACTCAGTTGAAGATATTTGTTGCTATGTGGGATTTTGATTTAGAAAAGTAATGGAGCGGAGCAACACACTGAAATCACAACACAAACACAATATAGCAATTGTATATACAGTTGAATCACAATACAAACATCATTCCCTTTACCATTCTCTATAGCTTGCTCACCACTGCAGTGCTGGGTGATCCCAGCTGCTAGAAGGACCACATGGATTGAAGCCAGCTGAAGCCTATTGCTCTCCTCAAAGTTGCTTTTGCTGGGTGTTCAGGTTTTATACTCCATGTCATGCTGAGCCATGTTCACACATCCCCATGTTGGTGTGGCTGACTCGGGAATATACTACTTTCTACTGATTATTTTAGGGAAGATCTATTTGCAACCAGCTGACCCCTTCAACTGATACAGCTGTTTGTTTACAGCAAAGGCCATCTATGGTCACCTTGGTGTGAGATCAGTTCAGCTTCTTTGGTGACAGCTGTTGTCACTTCCTACATTCTTTTCTGAGCTTCACACACACGTCTGCCTACTCTGAGCCTTCTTCCACTGAAGATGTTCATTGATCACTCACGGAACAAAAGTGTGGCTTTGTAAGGCAGATGTTGCTGGTTTTTTGGGTTTTGAAGAAAGGGAAACCCCAACAAACTTACGCTGCTGTGTCTTTACTTTGGCTTCCCAGTGGTTTATCTTTTTCTGACATGTTTTAGGGTTTTTTCCCCCGATTTTCTCAAGTGTCATTTTTACTTGAGAACATGTGTTTCTGTGACCTCTGATTTAAACTCCCAATTGTTTTTTCAACCTTGAATAACTCACCAGAGTGCACTGGAAGGAAGAAAACACTTCTGGTACTAAATCAGTTTTTAGAACTTCCTTGGAAGTTTAATATTCACATTATGTCAATGGATTTAGGGTGGTGTGGGTTCGTTGCAGTTTATTAACTTGTAAGATAATTATTCTAAGAAGTGAATTTTTAAATAAAACAGACTTATAAAGATACCGCTTTAACAACACCAACTCAGTGATGGCAAAGAAAGCTAAAAGCCTCCAGTAGAATTCTGGATATTTCTCTGACTACCACAAATTGTTGAGTTTGAACAAAATCTCCCAAATAATAAACTTTTCTATTCATACCATGAAGTTATTTTTCTGGTATATCTGATCTTTAGCGTACTGTGGTTGGTTAACAGATTATTTTGGTATTTATTTCCCTCTTCCGTGACTAGGTTACACAGGTAGTGAAACGAGGATGACTCTCCTGCA